AAGAAATAACGCTAATGCATAGTTTCAACTACTGTAACCCATGCCGAAGCGAAGAGGCAGCTGTTTGCGCCTCCCAGATTTTAAAAACCGCAACATAAGGGCATGTACTTCAATAGAAAACTGTGTCACTAGGGTTATTTTCTTTCTTGTGGTTAATAGTTCTAATATCCAATTTTATCAAGTAGGATTGATTTTTGTTAATCTTTGACTATCAGTAAACGAAGGATTACAGGTGGTCCAAGTCGGTATCCGAATAGGATTTCAATAAATCTGTTAACTGAATTTTTCATATGTTAAAAAAATCTCAGAAATGTATAGTGTACCGTCTTAAGAGGTGCTGGTTGCTGGGACCATCATATTGCGGTAGTAGCCTGTAAGAGCGTATCAGGCGATTGGAAAGAGTGTGAAAGTCAGGTTAGTCCTTACTTCTTTTGCTATGGATGGCTGAGTTCGTATTTGTTTGAGGTGGAAGAATTCAAAAAGTGTATACAGAAGAATCGGCCGAAGGTTATCGCAGCGGCGAAGAAGTAGTGTCTTCACTCTAGTATATATTAGAATGGCTCACTACTACTGGTATTTTTAGATGAGGATTCATTTTCATGATTAAGCATATACGTTTGATTGTACTCAGATTTTTTTTCAGGTTTTGATGATGTCAGTAAGAATTCCTTAGAGATCATCTTTCATAATAATAGGCCTCTAAAAGTTCGTGCGCTCAAACGAAAGGAAATCGTCTGAAAAAGTAATTTGTAACTTCACTGTTATCCCTAGTCATTTATTTGATTTCGAAATTTGTTTATAATCAGTTCTTCTGTCTAAGGAAAGGGGGTTGCTGTCATGAACGTGCAACTACTAAGCCTATGAGGTTAAGAAGACTGATACAATCAAATACTTTGTAATAACGTTTCTGAAACTTAAGTATTCGCATCGTTAGCATTATGATTGTGACTCATTTCTTTCTTAAAGGACAATGTCTACCGTTTTCCTCCTTCATGATTTTCTCCTTTCCAGAAAGCCTATATTTCAATCCCGTCTAGACAAACTCAGCTTTAAAGCCATTTATATTGTCTACACCTCTTCTCGACTTACTGCTGTGGAACTAACTTGTTTATATTTTAATTGTTAGAAGTGTTTGGTTAGTTATGTATTGTATATTCTTGGTACCTTTTGTATAAAACTATGGATAAATCCAATTGTACTTCTGTATTCTGTTTGTGCTTACAGCGCTGCATTTTCAGCTGATCTTATTCCATACATCTCTATCAGTGTCATGATATGTATTAGTTGACTTTGTTCAGAACTGAGGTGATTGAAGTTGATGTCGAAATCTTCTCAGTCATCCTTACCACCAAAAGATACAGAAGAAGAGGAAGATCTCGTTGAAAAAAGTATAAAGTTGGTATATTTAACACTTTATTCCAACATGCATTACCGATTGTTAGTTTGGCAAAAGTCTTCTTAGTATAAAGACCATACATTATGTATTAAACAATGCACTAAAAAGGAGGACATGATTTTTGTAACTCGGCAATTGTCCCTTCTCATTTGGGCTTCATTTTCGCGGATTTTAAAACATTATAATGGAGCAGATTAAAGCAGTTTACGCCCTTATTGCCCAATAGGAACGATCGTCAAATTTCAACGACAAGAAGACATGCTCCTTAATTGTCTGAAGCCGCTCAATTAATATTTAAATTGCTATATGATAGTATTAGACGGCTGTTCTGAAAATATATCTTTCGTAGTATCTCCATAGTCTTAGGTTCAACACTTGCTATCGCAGTCGTTTTAGAGCAACAGGTTGCTGGGAGGAACACATTGCAGTACTCGACTGTAAAGGAGATACTGGCGACTGGAGGCAGTGCCAAAGTCAAGTAAGTCAGCATTCTCAAATTCATTAGCATGATTTGCTCCGATGAACTGTTCAGGTGCAAGCATTCAGAAAGTGTATGCAAAAGAATCGCCCAAAGGTCACAACACCAGACTTAAAAAAGTGAACTGCCTACCGTTATATCATTAGAAATATAGTTTGTTTCTTTGGTATTTTCTAAGTAAGTTTTTTAGCCTCAAGTTCTAATCAATTGTTATTTTCTAAAATTGATTATTTCAGCTTTCCGTAATGCTGTCAGATATATTTGGAGAGTTCATTATCGACGAAGAAGATGTTAGAGATCGCGTTCAGTTCTGCAAACCTGAGCAGTACTCCGCTGAAATTCATAATAAAGGCTGGTTTTTGAATTTATCGTACTCCAAGGATAGAAAAGATGATGAAGAAAGGTAAACTGAACAATATTTTCAAGTTTTCATAGTTCGCACCCGTATCCTGAATTTTTCCTTTTTAGAGAATTAACAAACCACAAAGCAGCTTATTTTTATCATCATGAACAATATGAAGAAGCTGTGAAGGTTGGGCTAACCTTGGCTCAAATCGGGTTCTATACTTTGAACGGAACTATTTTTCAGGAGTACAAGACGTTGCTCAACGATTTCAAACACAGTCGTACCCACTTTGTGGCGGTAATCGACTCCCTAATTCGTTGTGCTTTGAAGGTTGGTAGATTTGGTCTAAAACTCTTGAGGTCATGTTTTAGCTTTTCTCTCACTCGAAATTTTTTTGAATCCTTCAATCAAGTTGAAATATCAACTGATTGGTAGCACTCTGAAACTAATCTAAAGCTTTTATATGTTTTCTATTCAAAACTAAATGACGAATGTTGATTGGAAATGAATACCTCTAGAATATCACAATAAATTAAAGGAAATTTTTCTTAACTCTGTTTTAGCATACCTGGTAGATATAGATTTTACCTCTTGTAATAATTTGGTTTATTTCTGAATTTTTGAATACATTGCATCCCTATCCTCTTCTTCACAGTCGAAAGTTCACTTTTGTATCCTATAATTTCTAATTGTAATTTTACCCACCTTTACTATCTATACTAACTAAGTGATGCTTTCATTTTATGGGGCAAACCATCTGCAGTGATTTTAGAGTATTGCTTTCCTTTATATTGATATTTTCACTATTACGATTGATCCCCTAAAGGTCCCATCGTTTCCAAAAGACGAGATACTGCGTTATCTCCACGACTACGAACAATCTGCTCTCGATTATGGTGATCAGCTCCAGTATCTGAATGCTGCAAAAGAGGTCTTTAGCAAAATCCCTGGGGAAGAAGCGCAGGGCAAGTTTATCGATGCAGTCTGCCTCCT